TATCCTAACTGTGGGTTTTTGTTTGCATGCTTCACCAGCATGCTTTTACCCTTTTTTTGATTAAAACCCCTGGTTATGCACCATGATCTCATTATTGTTTGAATTAAACAATTCTAACCCACCAATCATGTGACCTATAAGTATAATTTACTGCATGCTTTCATCCATCTCATGAATTTATTGCTAAGAAATACATTGTAATTCTTAACAATTTGCTATTTTACAGAAATAAACGGAATAAGGTTCAATTCCAGAGTCAAAATTTAGTTTGATTTGTAAAATCCGTTGACATCCCTTACTATAAATAAATGTAAATTATATAACTCCTCGCTAAATACCAGTTTAAGCGAGTAATTTCATTCTTATTTAGAAAAAAAAGCCACACAATGTTAAAGCAAATTCTAGTCAGGCATGACCAGAGTGTGGTGCTGAAAGCACTGAATGTTCCCTTCGAGCATGTGCTATCATACCAACAGATTCACACCTGTGATGCCGGATGACCCCGGGAGCACCCGGAATTGCCAATGGCGACCCTGATAGGCAAACCTGAGAAAGTGGCGGGTGTTCAAATGCAATAGGCAAATGAAAGTAGGCATTTGTCAGATCTATTGACATAAACCAAACCCCCACGCAACAGTCTGAAGGACCTCTGCTGTGGTGAGCATGTGGAAGGGAAGGACTGTTAGATACCGATTGAGTCCTCTTAGGTCTAAAAAGGGACAAAAAATGCCCGTCTTTTTTGCCACAAGGAAGTATATCCAGTAGAAGTAGCCTCTGGGTTGAAACTAGTGGCAACTCTAAATGCAAGAAACATACCTACTGAAAATGAACAAAGTCCATTATAGAAATATACAGAAATTTAGAAAAGATCTATTTGGGGTAAGCATATATGAACACACTGATGCTTGATATCACTTTACTGTCACTGAACATTTTAAAGTAACAAAATCAGAAGATTAAAAATTAAGAAAATTTACATTTAGTGAAATGTAATTAAAATGCTATTTATTTTTATAATTAAATTACAAAAAAATCTGCATTTCAATATACATATATTTCAAATCACAGACAACTAATTTGTTTTGCTGAAGCCCACTAAAGTCAAAGCTACGACGGAGTATTAGGGCCACACATGAAGAGAAAAAATATTTTTGCCATGACGAGATTAAACTCGACATTAAACTCAACATTTCGAGAATAAAGTTGAAATGTCATGTTGAGTTTAATCTCGACGTGTCGACTTTAAACTCGCCATTTCGAGAATAAAGTTTATATATCGTGGCGACTTTAATCTCGACATTCCAAAGTTTGGAGAAAAGAGCAACCGCGCTCCACAGCTGCAGTCTGCGTTTTAAGAGTGAAGGTAGTCTTTGACGTGCTGCAACTATATAATCATCACAGGAAGCGGTGGCCTACCAATAATAACGTAACATCTTTCCCTATGCTTACCCAGGCTCGCAGTTCTGAATTTGAGAACATTTCAGTCATTTCAACTCTATTCTCGAAATGGCGAGTTTAAAGTCGACAGGGCGACTTTAAAGTCGACCTGTCGAGTTTAATCTCGTCATGGCAAAAATATTTTTTCTCTTCATGTGTGGCCCTAATACTCCGTCGTACAAAGCAGACATCATGGGGATTTGGACAACTGAAATAACTTACCAAATACAGAACATTTAAAACAATTACTTACATTCCCAGATTTGGTAATCTAAGCTGTTGTCTTTGAAATTGTGCCAAGAGATAGCGCTGCCAGAAAATAACTCAGAGAGCAGTTTTACAGACTATGACTTTTGAAATTTTTTTTCTTCTGCTTTCTTTAAGGGGGAACCTGACATCATAATTCAATAAAATCAAAAACAATAGAAGAAGGGGGCTTGCAACAGTTGCTCAAAATATGGGTGGCTCAAACTGGGCTGTACATACAAGGAACCCATCAGTCATCTCACAGTTGAATGCAACTTTACTGAGAAATTAACAGTCACAACAATCATAATATCACTGTAATAATATCAGCTACTTTAAGGTTATGATGATCTACTTTCTCTATACTTTATCCTTCTTATCCAACAATAAACTTACTACTGTATTTAAATAATTGTGACAGATTCTAATCCAAATAGAGTTCACAGCAAAGGGACAAGAGAGTAGATGGCATGTGAAAGAAGGCTGACTTAATTTTATGCACTATGAGCTCAAAGGTAGGCTTAATGGGAGAAGAATGAATTTATTTTATATTTTTCGTTAAAGCTACATTTATTGATAATTAATAACCACTTAAACCCAGTTGTCCTATAATGAGTTTAATGATTATTAATGATATTACTTTCACTTTAAAATTACCTTCTGTAAAATTAATGAAGTATGGTCAGTCCATTTGAGTAAGTCTCTGTTTTGGTCTTCCAAAGAAAAGACAGATGGGGACTGCAGCCTATTTTTTTTTTCTTTTAATTTCTAGGAAATACAGAATGCTTTTTCTTTTGCTGTTTCCAATTCCTTTATTTCCTTAATTATAATCACCTAGACCTATATACAGGAGAAAAACAGTGTTGCAGTAAAACCTAACATTGTCCATTTTAAAAAATAAGTATTAAAAATAAAAATGGCATGAAATGAGATTTCTTTGACCTAATCCTTGGAGAAAGGGATCTGGATTTGCACAAAGCAATACTTTTCATTGCATTTCTCAATGTGACCTACTAGAAAGAAACATTTTAAAGTCTGTGAAAAATTAAACAGAGAAAAAAGGTCATCCTTGGTCTACATGTCATCTAAAATTAGCTTGTTTGCATGATTTGCTGTACATGGAGGAGTCAAACATAACATCTTAAATTCAGCAGGGATAGTTTACTGTTCTATTGTTTATCTTGCCTCACAACTACCATGACAGTGTTATCCTATTATGTACATATCAATACATGTTATTGTTGTTAGTTTAATTTCAATATTAACCAATTTTATTGTTTGTTTTTTTTCCCCCTTTTCAAAATTTCCACTCCTGATATTCTCTCTTTTTCATCCTTTCTGTCTTCTTATTAATGTCTCCTAATGGATTGTCTTCTTTTTCATCTTTCTATTGACTCTTTTGTTGGATATTTTACCAAATCTAAATCTGCACAACTTTAGGTCTTCATTGTCACGACAGCCTTGGCCGGGACTGGATATACGGTGAAATATCTACTCCTCTGGATCCGCTTCGCTACCTGGAACCAAATCCTAGATCCGTGGGTATACATCCTGTTTCGGCGGTCAGTTTTACAAAAAGTCAACCCTCGCATTGATTGGTCTCAGAGCTCGGTCAGGTCTTTGTATCCATCATTTCGTGAAAACGTCCGTAGGTTCACCCGGTCTTCAGTGGGGAGCAACCTGGGCTCAGATCTCCCCGAAAGTAATGAAAAATCCAATTCTACGCCCTCATCACCAACATCGCCATCCTCACCGACTCCATTGTTGGTTGGATCAGAGTCATAAATTCAACAGACTAATAGAAGTGTAATGAGGAAAACTAGCATGGTTGCACCAGCAATGTGAAATTAATCAAACTTCTTGTGTAACAGTTAATATTTCAAATGTCTGATATTATCACTTAATCACCATTAGAACCTAATATACGGTCTAAGAACTATTATATTTACAAAGAAATAGAAAATCATACAAATATTCAAAATTGTACTTCACTGGCACACAAGTAAAGCTAAGAATGAGGTGTCCAAGCTGAGAGTTTTTGTTACCTAATGTACTTTTATTCTACTATATAGCAGCTAACACATTATGTTAGAGATATGCCTCACTGTTATAATTAACAGGAATATATACATGAATAGATATTGAATGCTTAACTTCAAAAACAATAAAATGGTCTTTATAAGCTTGTTTGATATTTAGAATTTTGTTAATTGTCAGCTGCCCATCCATCCATCCATCCATCCATCCATCCATCCATCCATCCATCCATCCATCCATCCATCCATCCATCCATCCATCCATCCATCCATCCATCCATCCATTTTCTACACCCACTCATTGCAGGGTTGCAGATAGCTGACTTCTCTCTCTGGATGGGCAGTAAGTCAGCAAATGTGTAAAAAGATTGTTGTAGAATGAAAAAACTTCAAACACAAATTATGGAACCGAAGGAGAACACCACTATGTAGGATTAGGGAAATGAAATGCCATGATTGACAGTATTACTTTCTGCTGTGTGATATTTTTTGATTTTGTAAAAGTGAATAAAAACTATACTTTTCTTGTTTTCTTTACTGGTAATAAAGCGTTTAACAATGCAATTGTAATGTATTTTTTATTATTATATAAAACACTAAAACTGTTTTGAAAATGATGTTTACCCTTTGTTCTTTAGTGACCTTTTTTATTCCCCATAACAATATTTAGCGCTGTTATTTAGCTATGTACAGCTACAATCAATTATTCTATTCAATGTCAATTAAATTCAAAATTCTTTTTGACACATACCTTCGAAACAAGAATCTATTTCTCTGAATTGTGCCCATCTTTTAAAAACACAGTCATTGTACATTCCTAACCTTTACTACCTAAACTGTTTTATAAGGACATGAAATTCAAGATTTTTGCAAATACCTGCAATTTAGATCATTTTGAGTCCAGAATTGTATCAGAACTTTCATTAATCAATAAACATGGTTTTACCATTAAACTTAGACTTAAACTTGTCATAGGAAGTAGAGGGTTGTTGAGGTCATGTTTGCCTAAACATGACTGATGATCTTTTTTGCAGAGCTGGGTCATTAAGCTGGCCATATGCTCCACTAATCTTCAAGATCTTATAAATCACTCTACAGGGCTGGGTTGATTATATTCTAAGATGTCTGATTTAAAAAAAAATAAAATAAAAATAAAAAACATTATAAATAAATACATTATTATTTTTACAGATCTCACTTTACTCAGCTAAGCTGCTGTCAATATGTGTCAAATCACTCTTCAGATAGAATTTATAAGTTTGTTCTACTTGACAAAAAAACACAGATCTAGTTTGAAAAGACCTGCATCATGAAAGTTTATGTTTGTTTGTTTGTTGTTGTTTTTTTTAAATAAAGTAATACTACCAAGCATATTAATAACCCATTTTCTTTCCACTTAAGATGCTGAATTCATAATTTGGGAAAATGTAAACTCGTTATCCTTGTTCAAATATCTAAGACAAATGCCCACCTTTAAAGTTACCCCACAACATTTGTGTCTTGTTGTTTCCAGCAGGTTTTCTCTTGGAGAATGATAGTTTACTGGTGCTTATTTTTAACTATGTAGATTTCTAGGGGATTCTAAGATGGCTTTGATCTACGGTGTGTCTTGTTTAATCCACATTTAAGCTGCACATGGAGTACAGAAAAATTTAAAAGTATTCCTGAGTTTACAGTGTTTCTCATTTATTGATGTTAGAGTGATGATCAATTGAGGGCACATTCAAAAGTCCAAAGGAAGATTGATGAATCAATGCTGGCCCTTATTATGATTATATCAGAAAATGAGAAAAAGACAAACAAATTATTAAGGAGGGAATATCTGGAAAGCTAAATCGTTATGTATCATAAAACAGATATATTACTCTCAACTGTATATATCTAAGTTCTGCCATTTTTAACATCTCCAATAGCTCCCCAAACATCAAACAAAAACACATCAGGAAAAGCAAAATCTCCCAGAACCGAGTCCAGGGCCTCAGCAAAGTCGTCAGGGTTCTTCTTGTCCTTGCCTGCCTCCACTATAGTGGTTGCTGCATAGAAAAGATATAAAAAATTAAAGATGCTCTCAAGTACTGCCTCTCTGTGTGTATGTGTGTATATATGGAATGTGTTTCCAAGTTTGAAGATGTTCCGCTTCCCATCCAGGAAGCTTTTTCAATTCAAAGTGTCAGAAATAGAATTGAGTTTGAGGCTTTATAGAGTGGACCAAAAACACTTTGCTTTGACTTAGAAAACATTTAATTTGATTCAGCCACATAATCTTGTTAGGGATTGTCTAAAAATCTATTTTTTTTTTAAACAAAACCAAATGGTGTAATTTTTCACACTTTAAACATTCTCTGGACCATTTACACTACCCTCAGTGGAAAGCAAAATGCTATTGAGAATCACATTAATATCAGACGTTATATTGTTCTCCAAGCTTTGGCTATCCTCTTCATACTTGATAGATCGACTTTATTGATCTCACAGTACAAGAAATTAACTTGTTACATCGGCTCAATAGTCAAAAAGAAGAAGGTGCCAAAAGGAACAAAAGATGCATGGGGTATACCCAGTATATACAGTGCGTTTTTTAAGGCAAAACAAAGTGTTTTTGGTCCACTCTATAAAGTCTCAAACTCAATGCTATTCCTGACACTTTGAATTGAAAAAGCTTCCTGGATGGAAAGTGAAACATCCTCAAACTTGGAAACAAAGTCCAAACTTGGAAACAAAGTCCAAATATTGCACAAGGAAGAAAGCTGGTTTCATGGTTTCCATAGTTACTTTGGCGATTGAATGAAGTTGTCCCAATGCAGTTCTTTACTACTATTAGTAGAAATAGGAGAAATTGTCTTATTTTATAAGTATTTTGCTTTTTCAGATTTAAGCTTTATCTGTTTAGTAGTGCATCTGATTGATTTTGATGAATACTCACAAACCATAAACTAGTTTTTTTTTATTTTATTTTTTTTATTCATTCATTTCATTGAATACCAAAAAAAACAGCCTATCAAATTTTTGATATACTAAAAAATAAAAATACACCTCCATCCATTTAAAACTATATTCTTCTTGCATCATCTTAATAGTGGAAGTTACAGTCGAGTCAATGACACCCTTAAAATGTGGTGGACTGTAATAAATGTAAACCGTTGACCCAAATTTTAACACAAAAATTTCATAGAAAGCTATTTCAAAATTGTGTTTTATGTCTGTAAAACTCCCTGCATGGGCTAAAAATAAAAAAGGTCAAGAACAACAAATTACTAACATATTCTTTTACTTAGCAAATAATGATAATGCTTCCTTGAGGCAAGTTATCCAGAAGTATGATTTATAGTCCTGCATCGGAAAAAAGAATTTCAAAAACTTGGCAAAGCATTTTAAAATAAATACATAAATAAGGATTTCTTTGTATATAGGGATCTTGTCTGAACGGGTTTGCTTCCAAGACTGTAAATATTAATATAGTTAACATTAAAAGACATCAATGCTGTCTGACTAGACTTACCCAGCTCCAGGTCTCTGATCCCCATGTAGCTCTCCAAAAGATCATCCACTTTCCTGGTGGCCTGTTCTTCAAACTCGTTCTGCTCGGGAAGCCAGCAAAAAAAAAAAAAAAAAGCACAGAGGCATCTGCTGAAATGTGATGACAAGAGCCTGAAGGATCTGCAGTACATTCTCTTTTCTAAACATAACAGGCCCAAAAAAGATTTTCATTCCTGCGTCACCTCATGTAATATAAATATGCCATTGTTTATGCAGAACTGCATTGTAGTCCAAGTATAGAGATGCTCAGGCAGTCATTAAAAAGGTGCACACAGTACAAGTCAAATATACCTAATGTTAAAAGAATTATGATGCTTTTTGAAGCTTCATTAAGCAATATTATATTTGGCCTTTAAATAGCTTTAGATGATACAGAATCTCTGAACTTTTGTGATGAACTGTTTCCAGTAACATTGTTTATGACTTCTTGGAAGTGTCATTTATGGTCAGGTCAGTGCACGGCTGTTCTAGCGTTCAGCATAAACACGAACATGTAAAAAAGAATTACAAGTAGACGATTAGATAAAAAAAAAAAAAAACATCAGTTTGGATGTGTGTCTATGAATGTGCTTAATGCGCTTTCTGACCACATAAGGAAGTCGCAGCAGCCGTTTTTCCCACAGTTCATGTGAAACTCACCACTTCCTGAACTGTAGCTGCACCCTTAGAGCGAAGCCGAAGTGTTTCTCTTCCGTTCACCAACTTGCCCTCATTCGATTTTGGTGCTTTTGTCCTCATTCCAATCATATCTAATCACATAAACAGGTAGACTGTCATCAAAAAAATCATGTCATTTCTGCTGCTTATTATCATATGCAGCATTTTTTTCTTTTCTGAATAATTATCCATCGAATCCAACCAACTTAGCTGTCTTATTATGAAAAAGATTATGTAGAGATTTACAGTTTTTTTTGTTTTTGTTGTTTTGTTTACAAGTTGGACACTATATTCCCACTCCTATATCTGGATGCTCACTAAGTTTTATTCATTTTCAAAAAAACAGATGAAACATTATGTTTGAGGATGGTTATGATGTCTTAATGCAGAATTTAAAACTGCCCCAAACTGTTAACACGATTAATTTATAGTGCCAGGTTAGGAGTATCATTGTGTTTATGAAAAAGATAAAAAAACTATTAAAAAAATAATATAAAAAAAAAAACTGCTGTTGTTTGGTGTAAAGCTAAACTTCTTCTTCTAAAACATTGTGGGATATACAGTAGACATCACTGACAAATTCAATAATTTAGAATATGCAATCTATTAACGATTTTAAAATAACCTTTTATCGGGTATTAACCATACTTTATTAGTTCAATTAGTTTTTTCATAGGTCTGATCAAATATTATGAATTGTCAAGTTTTCATTATCTGTTAGTGGACAATCATAAATAACAGAACTAGTAGACATTGAGTATATTTTCCTTTTGAAGAAGCCTTTTAAATCCTTCATACTCATGCATGTTTATGCATACATACCTGAGGCGTATATGGTTCCATGTGTACACACTAAGTTCTAAGCTGCAGCTGCAGATATATACAACCTGAATGATATTGTGTAATCACCATAGGTTTTCCTTTCCTCACGGTATACTGACTGGGTATCTATACCTGCTGCTCTTCAAGCTGGTTTGATGTTTACTTTTGGCCTTTACTTTCTTATTGCTGTTTGTTTGTGTGGAAGCAGATTTCGGGGAGTTGCCATCTATCTTCTGTGTTATTTTGCCATTTTGTTTTCTCTCCTCTCTCCTTCCTTTTTTCTATCTCTGTCTCTTTCTCCCCTTAATTCTTATCCCCTCTCCCTTTCTCACCTCCCGTTCTGTCCTGTTGTACAATTTTATTTCCTAAATCATTTTCAATAACGTTTCATATAGAAGTACCAAGCAGAACCTTAAGGCAATAACCGTAATATGTGCTAGTGAAAGCAAATCTGGTGGGCTACTGTCAATTCCCAGAGATATATTGGGCAATCTGGGCACAAAAAAAGGAATTAATTACTAGAAAATGTTGCCTGATTTAATAGTGTATGATTACAGCTACAAGTGTTTGGGGGTTAGTCTACCAGCCTCTAGCACCATTGCTCCACCACAAACAAATACTGCTTTTCATGTGGGTAAAAAAAAGCCTAGTGTAAAACCTATTTGACCAAAGTGCCTTTTTGTTAAACATTAAATTAGTGATAGTTTTAAATGTTAATCTAAATCAACAAAAACAGCAGCTAAGAATGAGGGACGATTATTCAAGATATTTACAACAGTAAATATTTTTTCTGTTTGATACAGAATTGTGGGCTTAATAGAAATATATTTGATAACTGCTCATAGGTTCATATTTTTAAAAGGTATTTTTTAATTGAACAAATCACAACACGTCATCTCAAGGCACTTTACGGTTCACCAGATCATACAGTCAAGCTGATTTTGATCTAAAGAAAACCAGTTGATCGACTCATTGACTCAAAGGCAATCTCCAGGAACTATCAACTCTACGAACACAAGGATGTCAATCGCTGGAAATTATTCACTGGACTGATGCAGGAACATTTGAGGACAGTTAACAACATCAATAAGGACCGCTGCAAGGAAATATTTGGACCACTTCTCAACAGAAAATACAGTAAAGAATGGACTTTATGAACAATGAATAACTCGGATTTGTTTTTGTTTTTTGTTTTTTTTTGTGTGTGATTTTTATTTTGTATAGCAAATATTTTCTGTTTTTGGTATATTTTGAATAATGTTGTAAATTTTTCTTTTAAGTAATTTTTTTATAATAAAAGACAAAAAAAAAAAAAAAAAAGGAAGAAACCGCCAGCAGAACCAGGCTCAGTGTGAGTGGCCATCTGCTCAGGCCGACTGGGGTTCAAAGAGAAATTCATATGAATGTATGTGTGTATATTCACGACTGTAATACACAGCGGCTCCTACAACAAATTTAATGTTCACTCTTTTAGGTTTGGTCCTAAGATGTCTCTCCATCTATTGAGTGTTTCTCCCACACAAGAACACATAGAAACAAATCAGGTCTGCAAGTACCGGGTTTAAATAAAATGGCCAAATCAAGGAGGCCAAATGAAGAAACAAAAGAGGTGATACAATAAGGGAATTTGGCCTATGCATTTTTTCACTGAAAGTCTTTAGGTATTTTATATAGACTGATATTGAGATTGTGTTCTGAAAATAGAAATTGCATGCCAGTTGCACTTATGCTAAGGTGAGGTTGTAAAATTACCAGATCACACTATGCCATAAAGCAGTTAAAATGAAAACAGAGGTTTAAGACCTTATTTTGGTCTGAAGGGCAGGAGAACGCCAGAGAGTTTATTCTGACAGTTGGTCTTTCATCTTAATGGGCCTTGACAACATATGAAGTTAACTATTAACCAACAAAAGAAAAGACAACCAGTTCCCATAGATTCGATCATTAAAAAGTTATTTTCCACCTAAATCCTATTTTGAAAAAAAAATTAAAAAAATGCCTGCAAAGAAGTCGTCCACTGGGAGGATGCCCAGGGGACAGCCCAGGACACAGGAGACTGTCTCTAAGATGACCTGGAAATGCCTTGAGCTGAATTTATCTGTTTAGAGGGAAGCCTGGGAGCCTCTGCTAGGACCTCTGACCCCACAACCCGGTCATAGATAAGCAGAAAATGGCGACTACAAATATGAGAATGAGGTAATGTTGCTCTATATATTCTAAAATGAAAAGTAACTACTTAAAAACATTTTCTTGATTATATTTAAATTTGTTCACGTCTTTGATTATAGTAAGGACATTCATCCACATGAGTCACACACTTATGATCCTTGGACATGAGGTGCTAATGTTCTTGTTTTGTCATTCTGCAGGATCACAATCATTCCTGTTTACTGTCCAGAAGGACCTCCATGAACAATGAACTTGGATACAGAATGGAGTTACACTTAAACGAGAGGGAACCAAAGATTCAGATCAGTACCAGGAAGTAACACAGTATCCTGTAGATTTTACTTTCCTGTCTGATAAGCTTTCAGTTCAGTCGTTCCCACTTGAAAAAGGAAACTTCTCATTGCTTTGTTGCATGATGAAAGAGATTAAGCTGTTTTAAATGTTCTGAGAGGTGGAACATTTCCTTCACGATCAGTAAGAAGTAGTGCTAATTTTTAGCACTACCTTTCAAGTATTTTTTTTTAATTAAAGAACAAAATAAATAAATTATGTTTTTATGATCCTGTTAAGTTTTAGCACCATGTTTTTGGGAAGTTGTTTTCAAGTGCAGTAAGTAATATATAGTGATTGCAGAGTTTGACTTAAATTACAAAAATTCAAACAGGTCATTCTGGAAGGAGGGGAGCATTTCCTGCCCTCAGTGCAGCAGTTTCTGGCAGATGATTCATAATAAAGTCATGTTCGTAAGAAAAGGACAAAAAGTACACATACAAGTATGTAGAGTTCAGTGATGTGGTAAAGTTTGAGAGGAATTGCACTTATTTCCTCTATTAAAATAAAATAAAGAGGCTGGGTGTGCTCATCTTTGAGTTGCTTGGGGAACAAGAAAACATATTAATAATACCTATAAATATTATTCACCTCAGAAGACATCTTCTTGAGGTGAATAATTAACCTAACAGTTAAGCTTGGTTTGGCTTTAGGGTGAGCTGCTGGTGGATAAATGGCTGAAAAGAATAGAAAGGAAACTTTCTTTCTACTCTGTTCTTCAAGCTCAGTAAGACAATTCCAATTAAATATTTATAATATCATGAACATTGACTTCTCAAGGCAGTAAACAAGTTTTGCAAACAAAGTATTTTGTATTTGATTTCTCTGTATTTTCATCTGTGTTTGTGTGAAGTGTTTGAGCATTAATCTAAACAGGGAGAGGAATGACGCAAATGAACCAGTGGAACTTTTGTCCAACTAGAAATTATGTTCAATGAATGTACTAAAGATGCCATTTTGTTTCAGCAAGGAGGTAGAATTAAAATTTAAGTTTAAGAAAAACTTTAAAGATTTGGTGTAAAAAGAAATGCTGTTAGGTTTTAAAAGATTTGGCAACTTTAGAGGAGTTATACCAAAATTTTTTTTGTTTTGATTTGTTTTCCTAAAACTTATTTTAAGTCATGTGAACTGAGTTTTCCTAGAATATTAACTTCCGAGGAGGATCTCAACAAGTTTCACATCTACAGCTATGGCAGGGCCACTAATTATCAAACCCGTTTTCTTCTTACTTTAATGATAAACATTAGGATTTGGTTAATTCTTTTTTTTTTTTTACCTTACCGGATAGACAATGTTTCAAATTTAAAATAAATGAAAGCTGTAATATTGTTATGCTTTTTATTTAAGAAACAACAGCAAATAACAGAAGTTGCAAAGTTGTACTCCACCTAGGCCTATGAAAACCTCATTCCCTGAAAAATAATAATGCCTCTGTGTTAAAGATTCTATATGGCCTTGGATCAAAAACTACTGCAATGAGTGCATAAGTGCACTAGCAGATTAAGTAACAAAAACAGGCCTATACTACATTCACCATAGAATAACAATAAATAAATAGAATAACAACAAAATCAGTACAATGAGTGCAAAATTGCACTAGCAGCAAATGGTCACAAAAAATAGGCCTGTACTTCATTCACTATGTCTGTCTGGCCTACTGTTTATGCCAGTGTGTGTGTGCAAGCGGAAAGAGGGTAGTGGCTAAAGGAAGCGATGTAGGAGTGCAAGATAGGTTTAGAGCCACCGCAGCACGGGAGTCAGAATTACGTACAGGAGCAAATGTATAAAATAGACCGGAGGAAAAAAAAAACATGAATCGATACTCTTGTGGACATGTCGTTGCATCGGATCATCGGGTGTTGGATAAATGCACCGATACAAAACGATTTCCAAGTATCAGACCTATAAATGCTTTCATTTTATCATACTATCCAGGCTACATTTATCTACAGATAGTTTGGTACATAGTCTACATGTAAAAAAAAAAAATAAATATGTGATATAAATTCCTTTATTTCCCCACAATGTGGAATTTCGGAAATTCACTCTCTGCATTTAACCCATCCTCTTGGGGATGCAGTGGGCTGCCTTTGTGTGACGCGCAGGGAGCAGTCTGGGGTTAAAGGTCAAGCTCAGGGACCCAGAGTGCAGGCAGTGGGGATCAAAGTGGGTACTTGCAACCTTCTCAGAGCACACTAGACCAACACTCCCATTAAATATTAGTGCAGTTGAATGGGATTTGGACTCCAATATTTCTTTTTGATGAATTACTTGTTCCACTCACCAAACGCTTTCTTGGGCTCGACAAGGCGAAGAGTGAAAGGAAGGCCTCTTGGTTGCTCCTTTAGCATTTTGGCGACCTCATAATGTCGACATCCTACAATGCTCTGGTCATTAATGGCTTCAATGTGGTCACCGACACAAACTGCCTTCAGTCGGTCAATGGTGCTGTCTTCTTTTATCCTCTGCAGGAAAAAAAAAGTTTGCACTCATAAATCCATGTAGTCATTATCATAGGTGTGGTCCATAAAAACATAAAAATTATAAGATTTTGTTTTGTTTGTAAATACTTCAACTGTATTAAAGGGTTAAGCAGCCAACAGAAGGCCAGATTTTCTGTCCTTTATTAATTTGGCTATTTTTCACCTTTATGAAAGCGTATCCAGCTCCATTGTCTGTGATGGTGAGACCCAACGCGTCTTCAGTCTTTGTCACCTCTACTTCTTTCGTCTCCCCTCTCACATGAGCAAAGATGAAGTCCTCTAGTCCAATTTGTCCTCCAAGCAGTTTCTGCATGTCCACTTTATGAGAGTTTAAGGTACAGAAAAGGATCTGAGGGCAGGATATGAACAAAAAAAAGATGCTTTTGGAAGTCCCCCCTTCATTCAGTGGAAAATTTCACAAAACTGTTTTCTTATAGGTTAACCACTGCATATTACGCTGCATATTATTTTTATGTTTGTCATTTTATAACATTGCAAAGTAAAAAAAATTATACTTTGCAATGTTAATATAATAAGATGATACAGTTTCTATAAAAATGGAATATGTACTGTTTTTACGTTTTACAGTAGATGCAGCACATTCTGGCTTGGTTTTTGTGTTTGGCTTTGCAGTGCAGTTTAGAAAATGAACAGCAGAGAGCAGCAGCGAGAAAGGATTTAAGCCTTTTTTTATATATCACATGATCTTCACAATAAAAAATAACTTAAGAATCCTAACATGTGTATCAGTCAAAAATTTAAAAAGATAGAATGCAAAGGTATTTTATTGCACTTAACTCCCTCCATAGTTTATTCACAAAAGCTAATGTTTACTGGCTGTTTAATAAGTTATACGGTAATGTTATTCAATTAACGTACCTTAGGCAAATAAAAACCTAAACAACTAAAATGAATATCAGACGTATAGGAAAAATGGAAAAGATTATAACTCAGAAAAGTTATATAAAGGTCTTTATTAAGATACTGACTGTTAACAGAGCAATGATAAAGAAAAGCTTAGAGCAGCAATTCATGACAAAGAAGCTCCAGTACTGATTAAGTACTGAGTAGTACACAGAAACCATTTTTTGATTAGTCCAGCATTTTTGTCTAGATAATTCTTTTCATTGTTGATTTTATTTTTTTTGAATAGAGCATGTTAAAATATTAAAGTTGATCACAGTGCTTAATAGGACAAAGTAAAAATAATTCAGTGAGGATAAAAAAGATAAGATAGGTATAGAAAATTATGATAAATAGATCACTACATAACATTCTTATTTCTTAGATCCTGAATTTTAGTTTTCATTATATCTTTTATCATCAACTTTTACAGAAACACACACTTTAGAAAAATCACAAGGCGAATCCACATAATATTTGAATTGTACATTTTTATCTGAATAATTTAATGAAACCTTTGACTATCTTCAAGTTTGCTGATTTCTATGTTTTCTATGTATTACGGCAGCCCAGAGGTGTCAACAGAAATATAAAAGCTGAAACACTAATACAAAAGTTGCAACTCTAATAAAAAAAAAAGCTGCAACATAAAATAAAAAGCCGCATGCTAATACAAAAGCTGCAACATAAATTCAAAAGCTGAGACACTTATAAAAAAATCCGCAACATAAATTCAAAAGCTGCAACCCTAAGACAAAAGCCACAATGGAAATACAGAAGCCACAACGGACATAGCTGCAACGGAAGTCACGCAACAGTTTGTCATTATACATAACAAATTAACCTGCCAAAAAAAATCTAAGAAGAAGGAGCTTCTTTGCTTGTGGACAAGCAAATATTGCCCCTTTGATAAGTAAGGGAATTTTTTTTCGTTAGTTATATACTGTATGGTACAGGTGTACCGCTGTGCCAGGAAGTGGATTTACTAACAACTGCCAGCTTGATAACCCTGTGAAGAGAGAAACATTAGATTTTACGTTTGTGAGTCAGCGGTTACCATGGAAAGGAGTCAGTGGTTACCATGATACTGAGTCAGACAATTTTGGATAGCTTGCATTGCTTAAGGACAGTATGGTGCATAAAACGGAGAATGTATCACTCAGAAATTTCCGAATTGGAGGTCAGAACTCCAACTGTATTGTATACTTTGGTTAAATTGTTTAGCTCTTCCCCATAGACATGTTGAGTTGGTTACAATGAGGGTCTTTTATGAAAGCGACTTTTTCATTTGTGTGTTCTGCACATTATAAATCAACAACTGCCAATTATGGAACCATGTTTTAAGCCAAGGTAGAAAACATTGTTGTAATCTACCTAATGTGTAATGATGGTGCATATAAACTGTGAGTATGAAGGCTAACTGATTCCTCCTAACTTTTACCAGGTTATGTTTTGTCCATTTTGTGGTGGGAACCCTCATGTCGTTCTGTCCTATTGTGGCTCAATAGGCAGAAATATTCAGTTTTTACAGGCTCATCAAAAGGACGGTATGTTTTACTCTGAAAGTTGGTGATGTCATATAAATTACTGGATTTGTACTGTTTATTCATCATTCAGTAAATATAGATAAAATGCAGTAAATGAGTATGGCACATTTTCTATTCTTAGATCTGGTGTCTCATTTCTTCCCTTCAGATCCTGAAACCACAACTGCAGATGATCTTATGATTTCTGCTATACAAATAAAATAGCCTTTAATGAAATACTTCAGGATAAGATAATCCACAGTTGGTTTCAGGATCTGAGGGGAAGGGATGAAACACTGGATGTGAAAAAATAAAAATAGCCGTATTCATAAACTTTGTTTCATACATCATTTCTGAATTATGAATAAACATTACAGTTGCAGCTGTATCATAAAAATAAATAGTTAAAAATCATGTATTGTGATTTGTGTTTTGTTTTTTGTTTTTTTAGATTGTGTCTCTCACAGTAGACATGCACATATGATGACAATTTCAGACCCCTCCATGATTTCTATGGGAGGACAACTTGCAAAATAGCAGCATGTTCAAATGTGGTTTTTCCTTACAGTATTAGTTTTGCTGCTGTTGAATTTATGTTTTGGCTTTTGTATTAGTGTTGACACCTCTGGGCCACCATTGGTCTATTAGCATATAAGTAGAATAAGTGGCATTAGTACATTTTAGATTTTTTATTGTGAGTCAATAATGACAGTTATACAATAGTTGGAAATGGGTCTTACAAAATGCTGCACTCTCATTTTTAGATGCATCTCTTTTAAAGATCTGTTTCCCCTTATTCATATTTCTGGTTTCAAACTAACTGACAAGAACGATCATGAACCTTCAACTTCAAGGCCAAGCTCTGTTCAAAAGTCCATTAAAAAACCTCCAGATAAATAGGCAATGCATTATCTTTTTTATCCTATTCAAAAGATTTTTTTTTTTTTTTTTGCATGTAAGGCAGTGGGGGCTGGAGTCCAAGGTTGTTAGTCAAATCTGCTCTTTACAGTAAATGCTGCACCTCTTTATCCATTTGAGGTCAAACGCATGTGAATCACATGTGGAGCGCCTTACATTACCTAAAGAAAGTCTTTCTAGAAATTTGCATGAGGTCCAGTGTTCTGCAGCAACATTTCTTGATGCCACACCTATTAAGGTATTAACAATGTCCTGAAGATAAATCATAGCAACTGTATGCTGTTGGCAATTGTTGTTTGATAACTAACTGTATGCATTTATCAATTTTTTATCTTGAATGTATTTGCTTGTTTGGAGTTGTCTGAGTGCTGCTACTACCTGTTTGTGTAAAGGTTACATGCATATGTACCTAATGTCAAATTAGATATAAAGACTTACTTCTCAAGGAACCACTAAATCCTTTCAGATCTGATATCTTTATTTTAGTTTCTTTCTATTTCACTGTGTATTGGTTGCATTTTGCGACAAATGAAAGCAAAGATATAAAGAGACAGAGATAGTAGTAAGCTGTCTTACATGATAAACTGTTATCTTTTATATGCATACCAAAGGCCTTCATGGTGGCCTTCATAACTGATAAGTAGTCAATATAAGGCCAGTGGTGCAAAAAATTATTTTATTGCTGAATACGGGAAGATGACCTATCCATGAATTCAGATAAGTAGAAACAACAAGTTTAGCAAAGCAATTAAACTTACCACAAATATGCATCAATTACATTTTACAATTTTCTTTCACATCCTGTACTTTTTCTTTGTTTTGGGGTTGAAATGTTTCTTGATTTCTCATGTGCAGCAGGTTGTAGCTTAAAAGTTTTTTTTATTGAACCTTCATTCATTTTAGTGTATAATTCAGCTTATCTTCACATGACTTTATCATGTCATTGCAAAGTACTTTTTTTTTTCTATTTTCTTTTCCATGTCAGGCACTCTTATTTGTCCTGTTACTAAAATTTCTGGTGCAAATGTACTTGCTTGGCCTATGACATCACAAATGTTATACTTTAGCTTCTTCGCCTGCTCAGGATTTATTTCAGAAACTTCCTCTCTGAGATATATAAAGCAGTTTCCTTTATTTGGTTGTTTTTAATCATTTAAATCAGTAATAAATAAAAAAAATCTGACTTCGCTGTCTGCCTTTAATACTGGCAGCAAAGAGCAATCCTGTCTCAAGGACTCTAAGTTAGTTATCTGTTGACTGTCGGCACCTGATAGCCCACTACCGGCCTCTTTACTTTCAGTGCCTTATCTATCCCCTTCTTTAGCACTTTTTTTTTCTTCTTGCTATGAAAACAAACCTAATTGCCAAAAAAAAGGAGTGTGGAGGGGGTGGAGGGTGGTTATTAGACCAACTGGGAAGTATAAGAAAAATATTAATGTTACTTTTTTTCTTCTTTTTTTTTTAACCTTTGAACCCTAAACATTTTTTTCTATTGCTTTTTTCTTTACTCAAAATATGAGATCTGGTCAGATTCAATTGGCAAACATCAGTGAACATTAGTTTTCTAGTTTTGCAACATATTCTGAAAATTATTTAGGTCTGGACTTTTATTCTCTTCCAGCTATTGTGTATGTTTGACTGAAACCATTCAGCTGTAGCCCTAGGAGTATTTTAAAAGTTGTGGTCCTGCTAAAGAGGGAACCTCTGTCTCAGTCTATCCGTTATTTAACAGAATTCACCAATATGTAGCTCAACCTTACCATACAATCTGACTTGCATGCTTCTCCATGCTGAAAAATAAAACAATACTATAAAGAAGAATAAAACTTTCAAGATCGTTGTAATGAAATACAATTGCCAGCATCACTTAGGGAAGCATATATGTAGTTAAGTTGTACAGTATAAGAAATAAACACTATTAATGTAGTGCAAAAAATGTATAGTAGTACATTTACTGAACTGCTGAGATGTAGTAGTGTAATGTCATAGTGCACCTTCTGTTCGCTGCTGCACACGTGGCCAAAAGTCTGATGATGCTTTCATCTAATGAGAGTGTCTTCTTACATGTGTCCTGACAAACTTAAAATACTTCTGGCTTTCTCTCAGCAGCAGTTTTCTTCTGGTTATTCTTCAGTGAAAGCTTTTTGTTTTAAAAGCATCACCTGAGGATCTCTGCAGCTCCTTCAGATATACCATGGGCTTTATCCCTGCTTCTCTTATTAAAACCCTACTTGACTTGCTTGTCCCTTCAGGTAGACAGCCACGTCTTTGTAGGTTTGCCATAGATTATCCATAGATGGACTGAACAGTGCCCTGTGAGATGTTCAAAGTTGTATCGTTTTCTAAAAACTTTTCCAAAATTGTATCCCTGATTTGTCTGGTTCTCCATCTTCACTATCAATCGTACAAAAACAGCTTCCAGGGTCATCACAGAAAAGTTTAATTAATACTAAAGTTTAATAAAATTTTTCCTCAGAAATGATGTAACCTCACTTCTTGAAGTTTTTGGAATCCTTCTCATGGTTTGAGTTTTGCTGTACTGACTGTATTAGATTTCTGTCTTAACAACAATTTTAAAGTTGGCCTCTGTTTTCTAGAATTACTATCACTGAGAAAGAGAGAGGGGTACTGTTACACCTAACAGACTAATAGACTTATGTAACATGTGATAAAAATTCATTAGGTGTATTTCATACAAATTCTTAAGCAGAGTTTGCTGATAAGAAAACTATAGCTAGTTCTTTTTTTCCACTAATGAGTATTATCAGCACTAATGAGTCCAAAGTCTGGCAGTGGTGGGTTCAAATAATCAATAAGGCTACATCTTGGAGAGAAAGAAACCCTAGAAGGGATACCTAAAACATTTATCACTAACCAGACAACAAAACTGCAACAATTAAAAAGTTTCTTTCTTTCAATTTAATGAGAAATATCATTTTGTATTCTTGTTACCTCTGAGGGAGAAATGTTGAAAACCTCAGCAATCTTGGCATACAGTTCCTTGACATTGGTGAATCCATGAATACGCCCTGTTGGGCTCCCATGAGCCAGCTGAGTGTGGAAGATGAGCCTGGGTCTTGGGTACTCTGGTGGTCCTGCTGGCGGTGGTGATGGGGGAGGAAGTGGAGGAGCTGTGGGCTCTGAACATCCTTGATTCTGGCAAGGGGCCTTGTGGTCCTCCATGGCCTCTTCTCTAGATATCTTGGAGTCCTGTGGGCTCATAACCTCCCCGTTCTGCATCGGCCCAAGCTTGGAGTTTATCCACCCTGATGGTTAGCAGCTGTGACAAAAAGAGAATAATTTGCTTACCCACGCTTTGTTGATCAAACGCCACAGCTAACCAGTCTCAAGCCAATGGTGGTGAGGAAAGCACTTCAATAAATGATGAGAGGAACCTTGTAATAGTATCTGATAGAGGCAAGCTAGGCCCTGCCTGGAAGAAACCCAACACCCTCTCAGTTTAGGATTGTCTGTGTTACACCTGAGTTTATTTGAGCTCAAAGACAGAAACAAACAACTATAAAATGCACAATATAAACTTTTTTGTTCTATAAAGGGTCTCTTGGACCTCTAACCCTCAATGAAAACTTCATAATATGTCAAAGACATGACCCTTAACATGTCATCGGTGCTCTGAGGTATGAAAATGTCCAGCTTATGAGTAAAATGACTCCCACACTTGGCAACACAGACAATACCCCAGTGTTCCTGGTAAAATGATATCCGGGTAGGCAGTGAGGCGTTCCTGTTCACTAGTCTAACTTAATAAGAGGTTGTTGCTGGGGTGAATTCTTGTTGTTGCCCTGACCTTTTTGATCCATCCCACAGATATATAACAATTAAGGCAGATAAACAAATGTTGGTATTTTTTCTAGGTTTTTTTAAGCTTTCAGATTAAGAGTGATGTCATCATCAAACTGGGAATTTCCACTCACACATGGTAAAACAAAGAATCCTGCTTTTCCATTTCCTTTTCAATTTTAAAAGCCATGACAATCATGATGTGTAGTTCACTAATGTTAGTCTTCTGACCTCTTGTACCGCCTTTTATCCCCTCATGTGATTTGAATTGGGAAAATTTTCAGGATATGACATGCAGTAGATCATCTGTCTCTTTGGTCTGAAAAGTCCACAAAAATTCCAGATTTCAGAGTCAGATGGGATTGTGTCATTAGCATTATAGCCATATCAGATGATGGAATAACACAGTTTCTGTTAAGCATATTTATTTAATTATAAGAAGAAGTGGCTGGAAGAAGTGGCTGGGGAGAGGGAAGTCTGGGCCTCCCTTCTTAAGCTGCTGCCCCCGCAACCCGACCCCGGATAAGCGGAGGAAGATGGATGGATGAATGGATTTAATTATAAGAGCTTGTGTACAATACATTTTGATAAAAATGTATTCAATCTATTTTGTTTTTTTAGCAGGGATTATTAAAGTGTGCAATATCATTTTATCTTACCTGGAACAGTTCTCATGTACCTCTAGAGGACTCTTATTGCAGAGTCATAGCCTTGAGGAAATGGTATTTCTTCTTTTGCTCTTGCATCATACGCACATGTACTTCATACATAAATGGCACCGTTGCAGCTGCAAGTGCGTCAAAGCCTTGGTTTTCCAGGTCAAGGATTTGCTATACCAGCAAGGTCTTCCAAGTACTGTTAAGCACATTTTAGGATGTAATGAGTTAAAAAGAAAGGAAACTGATAGTAAAGCAGAGTATATTTCCTTTAAAAAAATATATTCAACAGAGAAAACAAGTGAAGGAGTCCCTAAATAAACCAACCTAATATATTTGCAAAATTAATTTACGTTTATCAGTCATACACAACCAGATGTTGATTTGCACATCAGTTGAAAAGGCATGGGCTGGTATTAGATGATGTGTGATAACGTTACATAAAAACACCTCATCTTCGTTGTATTTACGTATGCAGAAATGTGGATAATGACAAAAAAATACCTCAAAGATTTTGTTTAAAATCATAATGCAACATTTAGGTTAGCATTTTAAGATGACTGTTCTTTTTTAATTTGACACTGTAAATTAGGCATTCTATAATTGTGCTGCTTTAAGTAGATGCATGATGGAATAGCTCTGCTCAAAGAACAATTCTCAAAAAAGTGAAGAACATGATGCACAAAAAGGAGCCTCCTCTTCTCAGGATTATTAAACAACAACAAGGTGCCTTAATTAACAGGCCTTTCCAGATCCAGTGCAAGACAGATCGCAGTACAGAAGATCTGTCCTTCAGCTATTAACACCTACAACAACTTGTTCAAAAACTTTTAATGAGTTAAATCAACATTTAATTCCCTTTGGGGTTTATAACGTTTTTTTAAATTTAACTGAATTGAAATATAAGATGCCTTGTTATTGATAACTCCCTAAATGTACCGTGTTTTGCTCTTTGAATTCAGTTTACTTAATAAGATGAAGATATGGGCTTTGACGCAACCCAGGACCTTCACATTTTCTTAATACTAGATGATACAAGTAATAAATAAAAAATTCTATGAAAATAAAGAAACTAATGTCACACATTTTATATATATATATATATATATATATATATATATATATATATATATATGTGTGTGTGTGTGTGTGTGTGTGTATGTATGTATACTGTATACTATATATGTTATCAGCGTTAACACAGCACGTTAATGCCGATAAAAAAATTTCGGCCGACAAAAAAAATATCCCCTACATATATATATATATAAATATATATATATATATATATATATATATATATATATATATATATATATATATATATATATATATATATATATATATATATATATATATATATATATATATATATATATATATATATATATATATATATATATATATAGCTACGGGTGGTCACATGTTTGTTAACATGGTGTGTACCACACTCAACATGGACCAGAGAGAGCAAAGAAAAGAGTTGAAACACCATGAAGAAGCAATTTCTCAGAGCTATCACAAGGCTGCAAGGATCATTCCAGAGCTCCATTTGACTTCAATCTAGTATTCCTATTGGTGCAATTGGTGCAAAATCATCATGTTGTGTCAATGTTGACATTGTAACCATAAATACATATTTATATATTTTGGATCAGCAAAATTTATAAAACAATAATTCATATGCTATATTTTATTTTCAGTCAAATTAATAGTTTTATTTTGCATCACTCTAGACATTCTGGGGGTGTATTATTTTGAAATGTAATTTTTTTCATGAAAAGCTTTATGTGGATTTTATATTTGTATTACTTATTACTTATTTTGATAATTCTTTGTAAAGCAACATAGCAACATGGTGAAGTGGTTTGAGTCTTTTATTGTTTGAATCCCAGTTGCGTCTAGAAGAGCGTCTTGCATAAAAGCTAATGGCCAGCTAGTGAGCAGTTTGTAATCACTTGCTGTTGAGATCACTCAAAATGGGAGCGGCTATATGTATCTTATCACTGAGACTTATCTTAATAATGTATATGTTTCCACATAGATGGCTATGTTTGTAAAGTTATACATCAAGTATTTCCTCCTTTATATAAACCTGCTCATTGGCTCTATAGAAATTATATTGTTTGTTTAAGATCAAGGGTGAGTACATACAATACAGGCTTAACAACTTAGTTTGTAAATATTAGCAAAAAGTGTGGTGTTATAAGAAATTTCTTTGATAGTCATTCTTAAAGTCTGAATTTCATTATTGCTGAGAGCAGGAAGCATTTTAGTTTGATACTTTAGTGATGTGATTTATATTAGCTTTCTCTAATTGCAATCAAATATTTATGAATTCTTCATATCCACATCACTCTCTTGCTACTAAATATTTGCAGCAATAATATTTACCTTCTAAAAATAAGTATGCAATGAGTAATAGACAGTAAAACCCTGTGGTGTTTGGTTTGATTTTAAACATAAAGTTGCCACATAAAAATTTGGGAGGAATAACAAAACCTTCTGCTGTTATTAAATTATTTTATTCAGTCATCAACGTTTAATATGAGTCACTGTTATAGGAATTTAGTTAACAATTCAATTCCAAACAAATTGGAGCCATTTTACAAAACCTGCTCTCTAAATGACTAACGTATAAGGTTCACCTCACAAAATATAATCATTCAAATCGCAAACTGACACACAAGGAGAGTTGGTCTTTGTGTCTTATATCCAAGGGTGGCGATTTGTTTTGTCAAATTAATAATCTATCCATCATGCTGACATATAAACACAGAAAAAACAGTTTTGACGCATGCTGAGTACATGCCACCCTTTTACACATATCCTTAAAGTGGGATTTTCCTTTCTGTCTGTTCCTTGTGATGTGTCTGTGGGGCAGCATGAAAACTTGTCATCTGAGTGGTGTGGACCAGACTGTGTGAGGGTGGTTTGTTTGCTGTGTCATGAAGCCACACACTGCCTCTTCTGTTCCTGGTAGTGCCTAAGATGCCTGTGTGGAAGCTAAAAAAAGCTTTAATTGCTAATATCTTTTTGGCTCTTAAAGCTCTATTTAATGATTGTTTCATATTTATGCAAGTTTGTTGAAATTGGCGACTCTAATAAAGTTTTGTTTAAATAAGTGTTTGAGGCTTGCAATCTGAGGTATGAATCTTTTCACATGTAAATGCGAAAAAGCTTAGCACTTTTTCAAGTCAGGGGACTCCAAAGAACTCTACACTACAGTCTAGGGTGACCAGGTTTTTTAAAGGAACAGTCAGACATTTACTCATTAATGCACATATTCTTTGGGGTTAGCTACATTGTGACCAGAGCACCCCACAACACTAACAAAAAGAAAACTACCTTGCACAGGCTCCGATTGGCTCTCTGACAACCATCAGTAGGCAATGTGGTAAAATGTCTTGCTTAAAGACACAACTGCAACAGAGCTGGTTTTTGAACCAGCAACCCTCTACTTGCAGGATGTACTCCATAATCCTGTGCTACAGTTTATGATTAGTGCATAAGCATAAAGTAGAAAGAAAACTACAAGAATCACAATTTTTTATAAAAACAAAACTTTTTGTCATATTTGTACTCAGCCCACTGAATCCATGTTTAGCAAAGTCAACGGTAACAGAGGACAGCTGTTTGGGGAGAATTTTAAATGTTAGGTTTTTTTTGTCCACTCTGCAAAATATTTAAGATCCGTCAGACTGGATGGTAAGGTTAAGTACATGTCAGTTTTCAGTATTCCCAAATGGATTTCGGTCTGCAAATTGATTAAGCTATTCTATCACATGAACATGCTTTGATGTGAGATGGTATGA